AATCAATAGTTAGTGCTTATAAACCTGCATTTCCCCTCTGGTCTTTCAGTCACTGACGAAAGCTATTGGATACTAGCTGAAACGTCTGACGTTTCCAAAATCATATCCAGTTGTTTGAGTAACTGCTTTTGGCATAAATTTTACTTACTATAAATATAGCTATACATATTACAAATACAATGTAAATGTCTTCAACATCCAAATTGAATTGTAGATTCCAATATAATTGTTACTATTGTCCATGGTCTCCTTACATCATACTTCTTGCTTCAATGTTCTTTTTTTGTCTATGCTTTGCCCTGTGTCATCGTAGGTTCCCCTTGCTTTTGCGGTGATGTCTGGGAGGAAGAAGGGAGACTACAGGGCAGTGTTCAGTGAGCTCATAGACGCCCTGCCAGGTGTCATCAACCTGCAGGAGTGTGTGCTGGACTTTGAATCAGCTCTGTGGCAGGTCCTCCCGCAACTGTTTCCCCACGTCCGTCTGCGCGGATGCAGCTTCCACTGGGCACAAGCAGTTTGGAGACACGCCCAGCAGCTGGGACTGCAGGTGCCATACAAAGAAGACGAACGGGTACACAGGTGGCTGCGGAGACTGTTGGCACTCCCCTACCTTCCAGTAGCAGCCATCCCCCAAGCGCTCACAGAGCTGCAGTCAAAAGTAAGGGAATCCAGAGTGCTGACAGAGCTGGCAGGGTACGTGGAGAGGACCTGGCTACACAGTTCAGCTTGGCCTCCTCGTTGTTGGTCTGTGTACGGTCGATCGATTCGGACAAACAACGACGTGGAGGGATGGCACAACAGACTGAACCAGAAAGCCAGGAAGCCATCCCTTCCACTGTACCTGCTGATCGACCTGCTCCATCGGGAAAGCTGCCTTGTGAAGATCCACGTGAGGCTGGTCACGGAGGGGAAGCTCAGGCGACATCAGCGAGCAAAGTACAGAAGCCTACAGGGCCGCCTATTTGACGAATGGGACAACTTCTCCGGCGGGAGGAAGACGGCCAAGGAGTTGCTGGAGGCTTGTGCCAAGGTCTTTGGACCGCCAGTATAGTTTTTATCTGACTCAGAAATGTTGTAAGCGGGGCGAGTTGTTGTTTTAGAACCCCGGGAGGGTGTGCTGACGGTCCAAAGACTCCAGCAACTCTTTGGCCGTCTTCCTCCCTACTGTTAGAGAGACTGACTACAGCTGCAGGACTGAAGAACACACACAGGCAAAACATTAGTAACAGGCCAGGCGGATGTCTCCTGTTCCATGCTGGAACCACATTTGAAGTTCAAACATGTTATAAGCAATGTTATAATGTTATAAGCAATGTTATAATGTTAACGCCAGCGACTTTTATGCGGTTTCTGGAGGCTTTTTTTGGCGAAAGCTTCGTCTTCTTGTTATGGGCACCATCTTAGTTAACCTGAGAAATTCAAACGTTATCCCGACATAATCGTTTTTCATGATTCTAGCAATCATACACTTGTACATGTAGATCCGTACATGTGTATCAAGCTCATCAAGCGCATTCTATAATGTTCATATAATTCTATATTCTATAATGTTCATATTTACTGTAAAGATACATATCGTACGGATACTGTTAGAGAGACTGACTACAGGACTGAAGAACACACACAGGCAAAACATTAGTAACAGGCCAGGCGGATGTCTCCTGTTCCATGCTGGAACCACATTTGAAGTTCAAACATGTTATAAGCAATGTTATAATGTTATAAGCAATGTTATAATGTTAACGCCAGCGACTTTTATGCGGTTTCTGGAGGCTTTTTTTGGCGAAAGCTTCGTCTTCTTGTTATGGGCACCATCTTAGTTAACCTGAGAAATTCAAACGTTATCCCGACATAATCGTTTTTCATGATTCTAGCAATCATACACTTGTACATGTAGATCCGTACATGTGTATCAAGCTCATCAAGCGCATTCTATAATGTTCATATAATTCTATATTCTATAATGTTCATATTTACTGTAAAGATACATATCGTACGGATACTGTTAGAGAGACTGACTACAGGACTGAAGAACACACACAGGCAAAACATTAGTAACAGGCCAGGCGGATGTCTCCTGTTCCATGCTGGAACCACATTTGAAGTTCAAACATGTTATAAGCAATGTTATAATGCTATAAGCAATGTTATAATGTTAACGCCAGCGACGTTTATGCGGTTTCTGAAGGCTTTTTTGGCGGAAGCTTGTTATGGGCACCATCTTAGTTAACCTGAGGAATTCAAACGTTATCCCGTTATTGTAGTCAAGTGCATCAAGTTCATTCTATCATGTTCAGCATGTAATACGTTCGCGCAAATGTTCGCGCTGGTTTATAAGTTGCTTGTAGAAAATAAGAACAGTACCATGCACAAGTTACGTAAAAGCGCTTTAGAAGTACATGTACCTGAATAAAGTTAGTGAATGAAGCTCCTTATCGTGTGTACACGTGTGCTGTTTGCCCTGCTTTATTACAAGGTATATCCCCCCTAATAGGCGTTACTAGCGCCTATTGGACCGCGCCATTCCGGAATGCTGTATAGGCCGGGGGATGTCGGACACTTCGGCACCTGGACACTTCGGTGCCGAACCGTCCTGAACTTGGTGCCGAAGTGTCCAGGTGCCGAAGTGTCCAGGTGCCGAAGTGTCCAGGTGCCGAAGTGTCCTGATGCCGAAGTGTCCAGGTGCCGAAGTGTCCAGGTGCCGAAGTGTCCGACATCCGGTCTCGTGCAAGTGACCGAGGAGTCATTGCTGCCGAGGGCCAATCTTTCCAACACTCTGCCAAGAAAATCCCTTTTGTTATGTTTAGGCCACTAAAGGTTATTTTATCGATGACGAAAAAATAAAACCGGAAATTCCGCTTCCTGTAACTATGGCTAAAGAGTCTGAACAGTGAGATAAGAGAAGACGTGACGAAAAGAAAAAAACTGGACAGGATGACAAAGCTGCTGTTCCACTGATAATTGCTGTTTTCATGACGAATAAAAGACTTGTTGGCTGTTACACGGCGTTCTCTCATTCAATTGTGTCCAAACATTTGTCGTACATTGTACGTATGTTTCAAATCTAGGCATCTTGCGTTTTTCAGCCCTTCTTGTTTGTTATGGCGCTCTCGCATTAGATTTAGGGCCTCCATAAATTTACTTGGTGTAGCCAATACAACAACGTAAGCCAATTTTGCTGTGGAATTATATTTACATTCTTACAGTTGAAGTTGATTGCTGAATGATCTGGTGGGGAATTTCAACACATTGGCTAAAGGCGCGACCAAAAGCACGTTTGCCGTACGCATAGTTTGTTGTTACTGGTATATTTCATTTTTTTTGGATTATATTGAGGCCGATGGCTAGTCATGTCGTAACACCAGTTAGAGCTAGTTTGTTACACCGAGGAGCGGTTTATGATATACCGGCTACACAGATACAGATAGAGGTACCGATTATGACAACTGTTTCCCGAATAGCCTTTATTTATTTGATTTGATTAGATTTATTGAAATTGCAAACAAATACAATACTCGTTGGCCACAGGCAGCGGGGGCTGGTGTTGTGGCCCGCACACAAGACAAGCTTGAGAACACGAACAAGACACACATTTAGAAGTAAACAATATAAGTAAATAAAATTACAATATCAAGAATCAGCATAGATTAGAATATGTCAACCTAATATATTTGGGATTGATTTATACTTTTAGTGTGTATTTCTATGTTACATATGTTGTCTTTTTTTATCACTACAAGGGTCATCATTTATGAAGAGATAGACGACATGTTTTTTCTACTTGAATTTATTCAAATGCATTGGTTAAACAATTTCTACTGTCAACGCCCAGTTGTACATATTGTCAGAAATGCGTTGATGGAGGTTAGGCATCCAAGTAGAATATTTTTATACAATTGGATACAGCTGGATACATTTTTAAAGCATTGGACATTATCAATAACTGAGAATGGGTCTACTGTGTGACCTCTAAATGCGAATCTAAAGTATCAGAATGGTTTATAAAAGTATGAAGTAATTGCAATACATTTGTAATTGCAAAAATACATTTTTGTCAAACAAAAAGTTAAGACAAAACAGTGCAAAACAACTTATACCAGTAACCATGTTCGTAAATATGGAAGTTTTAGACAATGTTAGTGTTAGGCCTCTTACATTGTACATTCTTTTGACAGCTCAACACAGTAGGGGAATGCACTGCCTCTTGTTATCTACTCTATTGTCATAAGTGCGCTGTTGCTTGAAATCAAAGCTATTGTGTTAGCTATACCAGCAGATTCTCTAGTACTGTGATTCTCTGCCACGATATCTAACAAATCAACATATGTACACAATGATATTCATTCTTATTTTTGCAGTATTTCTCATAAACAGTCTACCGTTTCTTTGTTGTTGATTTGTGGGTAGCAGGCTATAATTTTAATAGTGCAGGGTATATTATCAAACATAGGTTTCTAGTACTGTAACATGGGTACATTATTCATGTATGTTGTACGTTATTTCGTCTTCATTGCTGGGGTCTATCTTGTTACGTCGTTTGTAATCAGTGATGTTCTACTCTTCGTCTTCGTCTTCCTGAAAGTAAGATAAGGACGACTTCGTTAATGTTATTGACAAAACCCACAGCTAAGATACAGTTGATAGAGGTTTATTTTTAGAAGTTTTATTGCAAATTCGTGCCCGTAGGCTAATTGCAAATCATAAGCATACAACAGTATTGAAACAGATTATATTATTATACAATAGTATCTACATGATGAAAAGTAGTTGACTAGAACTATAGCTACGTCTGAAGGGTTTGACTTCTCTTTTGTAAACCATGGAAGACGTAATGTCCCACCTTTTCTAAAATTTGTGGGTTTTGGGAAGTTAACAGAAAAACAGTTTTTTCTTTGTCTGTAAGTTTAGTAAAATTGGGATAAATTGTAGAAGTTTGAATAGTCAGCTCATTTCGAGCATTGTTATAAAACGAACAATTTGAGATAAAGTGTATTTCGTCTTCTACAACCTTTGCATTGCAATATTTACAGATTCTTTCACATACAGGAACCCTTCTATATCGGCCTCTCTCTATTTCCAGAGGATGGGCACTAACTCTAATTTTACTAATAGCGGAGCGTAGTTCGCAATCTGCTAGATCTAGATATTGCTCTATATTGTATATGGTTTGACATTTTGCATAAAATCTTAACTTACCAGTATCTATTGACAAATTATGAAAAAAATGTTTGTATATGCATATCTATAAGTCTTTTTCGCAGTATTTTACCAATATATTCAAGGTCACAATGTGAGTTATCGGAATGCCACAAAAAGGAGTATCCATTGTGATCTAATATGTCTTTAACACGTTGCAATAAAGTTCGTCTACGGGTATTTGTCGGAAGACTTTGTTGTAAGAGGAGTGCGTCCCTTTGAAGAGGGTGAGAAGTTGAATCCAACTGGAACAGACGTAACCAGAATCTAACTATATATAGACAAATATCTATATCTAAAGAAAACCTGCCTAGTTCTGCTCTACAGGCGACATTGCTACTATTTCTAAAAACACCAAGAACATTTTTACAGAATTGATTGTGTACATTTTCGATAGGTGAGGTATCATGTAATTGTTCTGTCCCCCAAATCTGACAACCGTACAGAAGGATCGGCTTTACACATGTGTCAAATATCTTTAGGAGGCTACGTGGTGAAACTGATGAACGAAAAATAGATTTGAAACTATAAATGGCTTTTCGTGCCTTCAGTGATAACTGCTTTTTAGCTAGGGTGAAGCTACCTGATGATGAGAGGGTAAGGCCCAAGTAGCAATAGGATGGGACGTTTTCTATTGTATTATTACCAAAGTAGAACTTTTGCTTTGGAAATGAGCGGCCTGTTTTGTTAAATATTACAACTTTTTTTTTCAAATGTACTTGGAGCTTCCATTTATCACAAAAGCTACTTAATCTATTTATGGCCGATTGCAGACCTTCGTCTGATTCTGAAAGTATTACAACATCAACAGCATACAATAAACAAGAGACATATAGATTATATAATAAAGAAGGTGGCATACACTCTGAATTATCTAGCTCAATAACTAAGTCATTGATAAATTAATTAAAAAGGGTGGGGCTCAAGTTACACCCCTGTCGGACACCCTTATCAGTCACAAATGGTGGTGTAAGGCCAGATTTTGTTTTGACGCAAGTTTCGGGTTTATCATATAAGCATTTAATTAATTTATAGAAATTCCCTCCTATTCCTGAATTTAATAACTTAAAACGGAGCCCTTCTCTCCAGACTGTGTCAAATGCCTTTCTAAAATCTATGAAACATGAATAAAGGCGTTTGTTGTTCTGGAAATATTTCGTAATTAGTGAGTCTAAAACAAAGAGATTATCATTTGTGCTGAATTGTTTTCTGAAACCGGCCTGGTTCGGGGAGATGAGCTTATTCTCATCTAAAAAAAGTTGTTAAGCGTGTATTTAATATTGATGTGAATAATTTTGCTAGACAGCTTGTGACCGAAATACCCCTGTAGTTACTAGGGTCATCTTTTGCCCCGCCCTTGTGTAGGGCGATTATTAGTGTATTTCAACACTGTCCCAATGTTAATCGATGTTCGTGGAACAAAAATGCCCAAAATTCTGACGCAATACGGTTACTAGAAGGACCTGGGTTGATTTGTAGGTTACTACACAGAAAACAAAGGACTTATTCTGTAGTTTGTTTCTGTAGTTTTAAATGGGGCTAGTGCATCCAGAACCTCGCCTATCTAGTTCTGTGCCTGAATGGTTTAAGGTTAGGATCAGGTATGGGTAGTAGATAGTCTCCGCGTGTCCAAGACGTAGATTTGCCCTTTTCCCCGTTTTGGATTCGTGTGGACTATCCAGGACCTTAAGCTTATATTTGCATGGTTCTGGATAACGCCCAGTTCTGGATACAACAGGGACCTCACTAGCCTGGTTACCAAACCTATTATAGCTCCCGAGTCCTACATCCTCTCCGCAAATATGCAGAAATAATAGAAAGTTTATTGTAAATACTTGCCCGAGGGCTAATTGCAGTTACAAACAACATAAGAAAGAAAATACAGTGGTATGTGAGACTATATCTACGTCTAGCATTATACTACTAGTATATTCTACAACATACATGGTACTAGGTTTACTGGGTTTGACTTCTTCTTTTTTATGCAATGGAATACGAAATTACCCACTTGTATGTTAAATTACCTACCATAATATGTGGGTTCTTTGATTTTAGTAGCAAAATTGTTTTTTTTTTTTGTGGAAATAATAGTGCTTTTGTATATGACATGTTTGTTAATGTATGCACGTGTCTGTTGCATCAGTAGTACGGTGCACGTAGCCTGGTTACCAAACCTATTATAGCTCCCGAGTCCTACATACTCTCCTATTTGCGGAGAGGATGTAGGACTCGGGAGCTATAATAGGTTAGGTAACCAGGCTAGGACCTCACCTCTGCAATGCTGATGGTGACCTTCCTGTCATGGCTCCCAGCGACGTTTGTCGCCACACACCTGTACAGCCCCTCGTCTTCAGCCCGCATCTCCTCAATCGTGAGCCTCAAGATCTTGTGGTCCTCGTGTTCGTTTTCTCCTTCAACTTCTTCCACGTCGAGGATGTCTAGAAAGAACAAAGGCATAAAAACTTTATTTGATAAAAACAACATGGCAGAAGAAACTCCTGAATTGTGTTGTCATTTTACAACAGTCTAAAATTCAACGATCAAATGAAATAAGTCATTACTAATTAAAATATAGTAAATATAATGTGGCGACCTGAATATACAATCTTAAGACAAGTTCACATACAAATAATCTGCAGAAGAAGAGTCTGAAACTCAATTTACAACTGTTTCTGCTGCATGATTTTAGAGTTCTGGGAATAAAGGATTGTCTGTATCTTTCGGTATGACTCAGTGGAACCTTGTAGTTGAGTGTTTGGCGTCGTAGTTCGTAAGTTGACGACATCTCCAGCTCTAGGAACTGTTGACATGGGTGGGTGGCATCTCTCATCACCCATACACAGAGCAATTGTTACACAAGCAACCGAGCAGGTTTTGAAAACAAAACTGCCAGACGTTTCAAGTAGCATCCGCTACTTTATATTGCTTGATATTATATTATGACATCAGACATAAACATTCTTCAATTTAAGGGTCAAGTAATTCTCTTCATCAAAAATCTTTAGGAATAGATGTTAATTTCTTTTCATGACGTATGCGCATATATGCCGTTAATTTCTTTTTATGCCGCATCAAGTTTTACCTTTCATTAGTTTCATTAGTTCTTCGAATTGTGTCTGTTTATTTCATGTTATTTTCGTCTTCTTCGTTTAAATTTTGTTTCAATTAGTATCAATTGTAACTTTTAATCTTATAGTATTGGGAAGGGCCAAAGATAAACCACCAGGTTCCCGGCCCTCCCATGCATGTCTACTTAACTTCAATTGTTATATTTCATTTATTTTGTGAGTGCAAAACAAACAATAAACAAACCTTCGCTGCCATCTTTCACCCATGCTACAGAGGGGAGAGGGTGTCCCTTCGCATGGCAGTCCCGGGTCACTTTCTGTCCAGCGTCAACTCCAACTTGTTTTAACCATCCGTGTGACAGCACCCGCGGAGGAGCTGCGGTCGTCAAACAAATCACAATGTTTTAACCATAGTGAACATCTTGATCTTATTTACTTTCGTTGCTACTGAAATGATTCCTTGAGTTGAATCCACACTTGACCGATGTATATTGACCCTCATGGAGAAAAAATCCCAAAATGCTGTTGAAAAATGGTTACTGGAACGGCCCTTGGCTGATTTTTAGGGTGCAACCCGGAAAATAAAGGACTCATCTTGGGGCTTGTTTCCGCAGTTTTAAATGCCCAAAGTATGAAGTGCTGATTTAAATGTGCTAATGTGAAGCAGAATGTGTCAATATCACAAAGATTGCCGTATTCAGAATATTTCTAGGTTTTGCTGCCCTGAAATCGGATTGGATGCCTTTAAGACCTTGCTGCTGAACGTACCGACACAATCGTCCTCGAAAACAGTTCCCTCGCTGGTTGTGTTCGTGTCTTGCGGGCACCAGAGACAGCTGGTCTGACCACCGAGCGGCTGGTAGAAGCCTTGTCGGCATGGCCGTGCATTCCGGTCCCAGCCCGGTGTCCGAGGAAGTGCCTGGAGGACAC